TGGAAAGTGAGGGGAAGACACTGCGGTTAGTTCAGGCTCAGTGGGAAATTAGATGCTTTGACTTGAAGAGGAGGAATAGGTTGCAGACTCACGTTTCCAGAAAAGGTGTCTCTTATTGAATCCAGTCAGTGTGGAATGTTCCAGTGAATGTCTTGTTCGAAGGAGGGTGTAGAGGGTTTACCCAGATTGCGGCTGTTCCTTGGTAAACGGAGAAGCTGACTGCCACTTAGATTTCTTGCGCTACTTGAACGGGTTATTGTGGAGATGAATCCCCTGCTCAGAGAGAAGCCCCAATCGATCCTTGGGGGAAAAGGTAGATCACAACAGGGCATCACAACACCCTGGAGTACTTTTTTGATATCTCAAATGCATCTGGAGATCTGGGAGGCTTCTTGCTGTCTGCTGACATTCAAATAATGGAGGTCTATGGCGCCCGAGGCAGAAAGGTCCATAAAAGTCCACAAAAAACGTGTCAATATTCCTCCATACTGCTCGTCCAATGTATTCCAAGTGTCCTGAGTGGGTAGCATCCAGAATTTACTCGAAACGAAGTCATTTAGAATGTTTTTAGAGCATAAACAGTAGTGTATAGGATTTCCTGAAAGCGCGCACCTGCGCGTTCATGACGCTACGGAAGCCGGCAGACCAAACCAGATGAAAGTGCGCATTCAGCGTCTGCTCTGCCGATAATGCAAGCGTAGAAGAAAAAATGTGCTGTTTACCTGTGCAAAGAAAGAAACAACGAAAGAAAAATGTCTGAGGACTTCAGTGTTGAGGAAGAGCATGAGTTCTTTGCTGAGCTGAATGCGCACTTTCGTCTGGGTTGGTCTGCCGCGGTTTCCGTAGCGCCGAGAACGCGCATTCAGGAAATCCTATACACTACTGCTTATGCTCTAAAAACATTCTAAATGACTTCGTTTCGAGTAAATTCTGGACGCTACCCACTCAGGACACTTGGAATACATTGGACGAGCAGTATGGAGGAATATTGAAACGTTTTTTGTGGACTTTTATGGACCTTTCTGTCTCGGGCGCCATAGACCTCCATTATTTGAATGTCAGCAGACAGCAAGAAGCCTCCCAGATCTCCAGATGCATTTGAGATATCAAAAAAGTACTCCAGAGTGTTGTTCAGCATGGGGGTGAGTAGAAAATGAAGGCTACCCAAAACTGGTGTGAGGCATCTGAGGCTGCCTTCCAACTCTCGATTCATGCGTTCGACTTGGCCATTGGATTGGGGGTGGTAACCGGAAGTGAGAGAGACTTTGGCCCCAAGAGCCGAACAAAAACTTCCCCATACCTGGGAGAGGAACTACGGGCCGCGGTCAGACAGAATGTCCTGATGAATACCAAGGAGCCGAAAGACGTGTTTGCAGAGCTGTAGGGAGCGTTTTAAGAGAAACAAGACTGCAGACCTTGGAGAAACAGTCAACGATAGTGAGGATGGTAGTCATACCATTTGAAGTGATGAAGTTGAAGCAGTCCAGAAGGAGGCTGATGAGAGGGCATGTTACAAGCGCAGGTGGGGCAGGCTAGGACAAACTCCTTGACATTCTTCAACAAGAAGAGCCACGAAAAGCGAAGACTGATGTGGGCCACTGTTCGACTGATTCCTGGATGGGCAGAAAACCTAGAAGTGTGAAGCCAATTAATCACACGAGCTCGGATGGAGGAAAGTATATAAATTCTGTTGAGTGGTCTGGTTCCAGGGTCAGGTCCAGACTAATGGGCCTGCTTAACGAGATCCTCAATCTCCCAGGTTACTGTGTCAACTGAGCAGCTAAGAGACAGGATGGGGGCAGCCGACTCCTCAGATTTGTCTCGGGAAAATTGACGTAAAAGGACGTCCATTTTGACGTTCCGAGAGCCAGGGCGGAAGGAAATAGAGAGGTTAAATCGGGAGAGTTAAAGTTAAAGCTGGGGTTAAGTCTCTTGGCAGATTGGATATAAGAGAGATTTTTGTGATCTGTCCAAACCTGAACCAGCTCCCTCTAGCCAGTGTCTCCATACTTCTAGAGCCAACTTTATGGCCAAAAGCTCACAATCTCCAATGTCATAATTTCTTTCCGCAGGAGAGAGTCTGCAAGAGAAAAAGGCAAAGGGCTGTAACTTATCGTCCGTACCGGAACTTGGGAGAGAACAGCTCTACTCCCAGAATCAGAGGCGCCTACCTCCACCACAAACTGTCTGGAGAGATCTGGCTGAGTGAGAACAGGAGCATTAGCAAAAAGTCTCTTTAGATGGGAAAAGGCTGCCTCCGCCTCTGGGTACCAAACAAAAGGAACCTTGGAGGAAGTAAGGGCAGTCAGAGGAACGGCAGTTTGGCTGTAGTTGCAGATAAACCTGCGGTAGAAGTTAGCAAAACCCAGAAAACTTTGGAGCTGCTTTCGAGTCTCCGGTGTGGGCCAGTCCAGAACAGCTTTAATTTTCTCCTCAGTGGGTCTTACCTGTCCACCCTCAAGGATGAATCCGAGGAAGGAAACTGAAGGTTTGTGGAACTCACATTTCTCTGCCTTAGTGAAAAGTTTGTTTTCAAGCAGACGTTGTGGAACTTGGCGGACATGGATCTTGTGCTCTGAAAGGTTCTTGGAAAAAATGAGGATATTATCAGTGTAAACAAAGACAAAAATTTTCAAAAAGTCCCTCAGAACGTTGTTGACCAGGGCCTGGAAGCAAGCAGGAGCATTAGTTAAACCAAAAGGCATTACCAGATACTCAAAGTGACCAGTGGGAGTTTTGAAGGCGGTTTTCCATTCGTCTCCCTCCTCGGAGCTGGTGGTATGCGTTTCTGAGGTCCAGTTTTGTGAAGACTGTGGCTCGTTGAACGTGTTCAAAAGCTGATGACAACAGGGGCAAAGGGTATTTGTTTTTTATAGTTATTTGATTCAAACCTCTTTAGTCTATACAGGGCCGAAGAAAACCATCCTTCTTCCCCACAAAGAAAAATCCAGCTCCAAGGGGTGAAGATGAGGGACGGATTATGCCGGTAGCTAGGGACTCCTTAATATATTTTTCCATAGCCTCCCTTTCAGGATTGGAAATGTTGAAAAGACGACTGCCGGGTCAGGGGGCTCCAGGAAGCAGGTTGATCGCACAAACTTGAATACTCAGCTCAGTTTGGTTCTCAGAAGATCCTTCCAGGGGAGAGAAGGCCTGAAATATCCAGTTTGCAGGATGACTTCCTGTCGAGAGGCAAAGACAAAAACAGCAAGATTTAAACTCAGGTTGACAAAAACTCAGTTTGACTCAGCAAAACTCAGCTTGGCTAGATTCCCTAAAACTGGCAAACACTGGCATTGAGGTAGTGGCAGTCAGCAGCTTAAGAGCATTCCGTTAATGAGATAACCATCCGCAGGTTTGTGAGTTCAACCAGAACCAGGCACCGCCTGGTGGAGGAAGGAACACAAACACAAACCACACAGACAGTAACAGTAATGTCTTGAACTGCTGGCGCTGATGATGTCACAGGATCATACACAATGTGGTCAAACACGCAGAATTAAATTTATGCAGTCTCCAACTGTTCAACATTCACCAAGGACTTATACAACTTTTAGCGTCATTTTGTATACAAAGAGTGATCGATGTGGTCAGTGTGATGCAGAGTCTGACATGATTTAGAGTTTTCTCAGCAGTTCATCAGTCTGATGGCGGTGGGGAAGAAGCTGCTGCAGAACCTGCTGGTCCTGCATTGAACGCTGTGATGCCTCTTCCCAGAGGGCAGCAGGAAGAACAGTCCATGGTGGGGGGTGGGGTGAAGGAATCGGGTAACGGTCAGGGCTGTGACCTGCAGACCTCTGGCTTCCTTTAGTATCATGGAGTCTGACTCTAGCAACAGTTTATCCCTGAGCTGGTCACCATCTGTTTTCTCTAGAAGTTGGTCAACTATTAGCCAATCTTCCAGATCTTGGCTAGCTCTATGAAAAATATTAATGGAATCATATTTCAGTGTGATTGGGTGAGTTTTTGGGCTCTATAGTTTATTTCTTAATTTTAAAGGTTTGCGTTGCTAGAGCATATTTTCTCGGAACAAGTTGATTCCTGTTAACATCCCGGGAGAAGAAGTGGAGGTGGTGGAGGAGTAGAAATCCCTTGGTGTAGCATGTTTCATAATGTTTTCATAATGTTTCAAACTATAAAGTAGCGCTATAGAATTAAACTGAATAGAATTGAGACATATTTGTTTGAACAGAGATGTTTCTATACTTATGACCCCAGCGTTGCATGATGTTCTTGGAAGCTCCTCATTTTTCAGAAAGGATTTTAGCTTTAGTTTGAAAACAATAATGCAGTATTTTCTAACCCATGTTCCATATTCCACCCATGTGATGGTTCTCTCATGGCTGTGGGACACAACATTATTATGTTGTGTGTTTGTATTGCATTTTTTCTTCATTTGCCTCTATTATGGCACGTTTTTCTTTCTTATGCTTTCTTCTTGTGCTGAAATGTGCTATACAAATAATCTGGCCTTAAATGTCCACTGCAGAGACCGCTATGCATGGGGGAGTTGATAGGACAGGTCTAACGTAACAACACTTATCTCATTGGTGATAAGAGATTCTGTTAATAGGTAGTCAGCAGAGATATAGTCAATATTTAAAGCTGGTTGACTTTTAAGCCATAAACAGCAAAGCTCACCTACAGAGAGCAGTAATGAGGATTAAAATGATTTTGTTTGTTCCATTGCTGCTGCTAGTCTGCTCTGTCTGTCCTGCTCAGCTTCAGGAAGACTCTAACAATTCAAGACAATCTGAGGCACAGGTAGGAGAACCACAGGGTAGATCAGAAATCCAGCAAATCTGCAACCTGGAAATCAATGCTGTCCTAAGAGAGATGACTGCCTCCTTGGCTGGACTGAAGGTGGAGGTGCAGCACCTACAGAGAGACAATGAAGGTATGTTTACAAAGTAAAAGATTTAGCTGCCAGCATCTGTTTAGAAAATACTCACATGGAATAATTATTACAGTTTAATACTTTGTTCCTTTATCATAAACAGGGAAAATAAAAGAACTGGAATCACTGAACCAACGATATCAAGGTACTGCACCATCTTAGATAAAATCCAAAGTTCCATGTAAAAATCTCTTTCAACCATAATTAACATGTTAACTAAGCATTATGCTTTAATCTATTCTTTCATTTTCAGCACAAGAATCACAGATTAAAGTACTGCGTGAACAGAACCAAGGTATTCCATTTATCCTGCTTTTATCCTTCTAAATTTAAGGACTTTAAAAAGGTATTTACATCCAATGAACTGAGACATATTTTGTTACATGAAAGTCACAATTTGAAATGAATTTTTTCCTGATATTCTAACATGAACTGGAAGAAAATGGATTCATATTTCCTTGGGTCCCTTGAGGGAATATTTCACAGAAACACCTGTCAGTTAAAGTGAAGCTGTAATGCTGCGTTCACACCGGGCGTGTTCTGGGCTTCAAAGCCGTCGAGAGGTCCGCCAAAGCATTCGAGCATCGGGAGCGGCGCATTTCGAGTGTCATTGTGTCAGAGCATCTGAGCGTTTGGTGCTGGAGATCAGTAAATTGAACTTTTGCCACTGGACGCCACAGCATCAACCAATCAGAAAAGCTGATCCAGCAGCTTTTTGGGGGGAGACAGACAGTACATGCAATTCAATTTAATTCAATTAATTGTATTGCTATAGCGGCAATTCACAACACATGTCATCTCAAGGCAATTTTCAGTTCATCAAGCTGTCATCGCTTCTGTTTTCTGCAGAACAAACAGAGAGCAGCTATGATCATCATTGCTGCACCAAAATATTTTTTATGAACTATGTAGAAACAGTTTATAAAAACCCAAATAAACGAGAAATGTTAAAACCTGCCGATGAAAGATATTGGATTGTATGTTCTGGTACTTGCAGTTTTTACCACAAACCTTAAAAATTCTTTCTATTCACTTCCAGCTGGAGGTAGCCCTCAAGGGAATTGCTTTGAGGCCAATGGCCTCTCCAAACCCAGATCTGAGCTTTTTCCTCTGAGATCCCTCGGTCAATAGCCTGCTTGGCCTCATGATACCTGTCCATCAAGCCAACCAGGGTCCTTCTTCAGCTTGACAGCATCTCTTACTGCCAGTGTCCACCACCTGGTTTGAGGGTTGCTGTGGCAATAGGCACCACTGATATCACACTGCTACAGCAGTGACAGTAAAGGCAAAGGACTCGGACTCTATGTCCCCAGCCTCCCCAGACGGTGGTGAGCTGGATATGCTGCACAGCTCCACTCCTCTCTTCACCAGAGCGTTCAGGACACGTGGACGGAGGTTGGAAGATACAACTAAAACACCAACCGAGGGTGTCCTGGTGACAGGAGAATCGATTGACATCCTTTTGCCTGAACATTATGGACAGTTAATGACTTGCATAGAAGTCCTATTATGAAACCACGCTGGTTTAGAGCTGGGGGTCTGTTCCTCCTGATCACAGCCCTCCAGATGTCACTGTCATTTCCCACATTGGGTCTGAGGTCCCAACAACAATGGAAACAATCAATTCAATTCAGTGTCAATTTCAGTTCAGTTAATTTACTGTATATAGCACCAATTCACATCATGTCATCTCAGGTCACTTTCCAGTTCACCAGATCATCCAGTCAGATTGATTCAAAGTTTTATATCTAAGGAAAACCAGTTGATTGCATCGACTCATTGACTCTTCAGCAATCCCTCACACTAAGCATGCTTGTAGCGACAGTGGAGAGGAAAAACTCCCTTTGAACAGGAAGAAACCTCCAGCAGAACCAGGCTCAGTGTGAGCGGCCATCTGCTGAGGCAAAAAATCGTATAATCACTGAGCTTAATCACGCCATTCTAGTTCAGGATGAGTTACCGTTTTATAACTGGATTTTTAAACATATCCTTTCCCTGGTTTTGCTTTCTTTTCAGCTCAGGTAGCAGAGCTGGTGACAGTTAAAGCCAATGCAACAATCACTGAAAACCATGTAGAGGCTCTGAAGACGGAAAGAGAAGGTTGGTAAACACTGCACGACACCTCATGGAAACTCACGTCTATATTGGTCACATTGAAGTCCCATTAGATTAATTAAACTAAATCATAATTTAAAGGAGATTTGGACCTCACACTTCCAGCTAGTTTCAGGCTAATTTCACTTGTGAATGCAGATATTAAAGTTATATGCAAGACTTTGATCACAAAGCTTGAAAAGTTAACCACTCAAATACATCTTGACCAGACTGGATTTAAATAATATTGATGTGCTTTAAATAATACAAACACTCAGCAATCTAACAAGCTCACATCTAAAATTAATGTAGTCAGTTTGAATAAATGGATAGGATTAAAGTTCAGTTTGCTATTTGCATATACTTGGATTTGTTTGGCTGTGGCAGTGGTGCAGGTGTTTTGCGGTTTTTTGATGTATGTGAGTTCTTCTGATGTTGCCATCTTGTATCAGTCTCCTTTCCCCTAAGTCCCCTCTAGATTCCTCTGTTCACACCTGCTCGCAATCCCGCCTGGGGTCCTTTTCACAAAGCAGGTTTAACAAACTCAGATTTAAATCCCACCGTGTGAGCTGCTACACCCTTAATGTGGTGGGGTTGTTTGAGTGCCCGAATGATCCTAGGAGCTAGGTTGTCTGGGGCGCTATGCCCCTGGTAGGGTCCTAGGTGATGGGTCAGATTAAGAGCAGTTCACAAGACCACTATGGATTACACTAGACCAAGCACCGCGATGTCGCCCGGTATGGGGCGACGTCACGCGGGCCCCACCCTGGAGCCAGGCTTGGTGGCCGGGCCTTTGCCCATGGGGCACGGTCAGGCTCAGTCCGAATGGACGACGTGGGCCCGCCCTCCTCTGGACCCACCACACGCAGAGGGATTCGTAGGGGTCAGGTGCTGAGAGGACCGGGTGTTGGTCAAGGCGGGGTGTCTTGACAGCCCGTCTGCGCGCTCAGCTTCTGGCTGTAAGGACATGGAACATCACCTAGCTGGGGTGAAGGAGCCTGAGCTTGTTCGGGAGATTGAGAGGTACCGGCTGGCTATAGTAGGGCTCACCTCTACGCACAGCTTGAGTTCCATATTCCATCTCCTGGAGAGAGGCTGGACACTCCACTTCTCTTGCATTGCCCGCGGGGAGAGCAGGCGAGATATGGTGGCTTTGCTCATTGCCCCCCCATCTCAGTCATCACGTGTTGGAGTTTACCCCAGCGAATGAGATTGTTGCGTCCCTACGGCTTTGGCTTGGGGACAGGTCTCTCAAAGTTGTCCTCGGCCTATGGGCCCAACATCGGAGCAGAGTACCCGGCCTTCTTGGAGTGCTTGGGAGGATACTAGATGGTGCTCCAACTGGGGAACTGCATTATTCTATCTTCAATGCACATGTAGGCAACAACAGTAAGACCTAGACAGGGGTGTTATTGGACTTCTGTGCTAAAAACAGTTTGTCCGTAACGAACACCATCTTCCAGCACTCGAGCATCCATAAGTGCACGTGGCACCAGGATGCCCTAGGCCGGAGGTCGATGATCTACTTTTTAGTTGTGTCATCTGATTTCCGGCCGTGTGTCTTGGTCACTCGGGTGAAGAGAGGGGCTGAGCTGTCAACCCATCACCACCGTGTGGTGAGCTGGATCCGCTGGCAGGGAAGGAAGCCGATCAGACCCAGCAGGCCTAAGCTTGTTGTGAGGGGCTGTTGGGTCCCTCTGTTATTGCAGTCTTCAACTCCCACCTCCGGACGAGTTTCTCCAAGATCCCGAGGGAGGTTGGAGACATGGAGTCAGAGTGGTTAATTTATGAAACTCTTCGCCAAACATCCATGACCCCCATGCAGTACCTCTGTGGACCCCCAAGGGGCTGCGGACCCCCTGTTGAAGACCTCCATTTTAGTTAATAGACCTAAATATAATTGTTAAGTAGGCTTATTAATTTTTCAACTTTACCTTTTAACTTTTCAATTAGCTTTTTACCTTTTTTCTTGACTTGTTAACCTTTTCCCCCAACTTAATTTACAGTAGGTAATATATAATTCAAGGGCTCATCTAACTGGTCAAATGCTAGAATAAGATGTGCAGCCATGTAGGAGGATCTTTGCTGAATAGTTGGATATAGATCTTGTGCTTCTAGACCTCATAGAGGAACGGAGGGGCTCCATTTGTTAGTGATCAAAAACAGTAACTTGCTCTATAAAGGGTGAACTAATGGAGTTAAGTTTGCCAAGAAGATCTTAGATTGACCCAAAATACCAAACAGTGTCTAAATTACTATTCCTTTGATGAACTGAATCTGGATGGGATGTCCAGACTCACCTGATGACTCTCCTGGTACCTGGCCAAAGTACGCAAAGATCGATCAACATGCCTGAAAAAAAAAAGAATCTCTATTTCTGTGAATAACTTGAATTCAGAATTACAAGACAAATAATACGGTTTTCTAACCCTTCCATCCCATAACTGCATGTTCCTGGTGTCCATTTCTGTCTTTCAGTGAAGCGACTGGCTTTCTCAGCATCTTTGTTGGCTTCAGGTTCAGCAAACATTGGACCGTTTAATACACACATAATTCTGGTCTTCAGGCACATTGTCACCAACATCGGGAATGCCTACAACCCAAACACAGGTGCCCAAGTTTACCTCTGTGTTATTTCTAAAAATAGATGTAAGGAAGAGAGGCGTTCTAACTGTGATGTAATGCTCCGCAGGAATGTTCACGGCCCCAGTGAAGGGAGTTTATCACTTTGAGTTCCACACATACGGACCTGGAAACCCTGAAAAGCCTACAACTGCTGCATTATTCAAGAATGAACAGCAGATCTTAGCCACCTATGAATTCCAGACCACTGATGGCCACACCGCTTCTAATAGCTGCACACTGCTCTTACATGTTGGAGATGTTATATTTCTACGTATGTGGGCTAATTCAATAATTCGAGACACTCCAAGTCATCATACAACTTTCAGTGGTCATCTACTTTTCACCATGTAGGCGTCTAACAGAACTTAATCCAACAGGATTTAATCTAACAAGATTTAATGTAACAGGATTTAATTTAACATGATTGGTTTTAATCCAGATACATGACAGAAACAAGCTGCCATCTGATAAATTACAGCTATCTATGTGGAAATGACTGGTATTAGAAAACAACTGCACAAATTGTTGTTTTTCATGTAAAGTTGATTGCATTTTGGTTTCAATTTGATTTTAATTCTACTACAGCATTATTATGGATTTATCGGTACCATAGAGAGGTAGAATAAATGTGTGAATGAGAGTAGTGGAGCCATGGGGTCACAGGAAGACCAAAAGATGAAGGGTTTTGGAAAAGAGGTAAGGAAAGATGTCCAAGGATGTTGGAATGAGGGAAGAAAGGCGTGAGGTGCTAGAAGAATATCAGGGAGGGTGAAATGGAAGATGGTGGTGAGACCTTTCATGATCACTGGAGGCTGGCTTGATTGCTCATTCCACTCACCTGTTTAACTCTGCCTGGTTTTTCATTCTGATCCACCTGTTTCCAACTCCTATATATGCTGTGTGTTTTCTAGCTACCACTGCCAGATTATTCAAGCGTTTCTGTGTGAGTAACTCTAGCGTTCTGATCTTGGTTCTGATTCTGACCTGTTTATCGATTCCGCTGGTTTATCGAACCTGGACTGTGCTACTGACCTCGGCATGGATTCCCCTTCTGTACCTCATCGGTCTCTGATCTTCTGGTTCCTAAACTTGGTTCTGCTACGACTTTGGATATTCCCTCCTGGGTACTGTGGCTCCTCGGCGTCGGCTGTCTTCTGCTCCGCTCATCACTCTGAGCTTCAGGGACGGCGCCGTCTGCAAGCTGAGGATATCTCCATCTCGGATTCATCTCCTTCCTCTGGGGATCGGACTGAACTCTGAACCAGAGGTTCTGGTTTATCCGCTCCAGCTGACGAGCTGCTGCACGCTGAGTGTTCAATAAAGACTTTTTGAACTCATCCAGATCTGTTTGTTTTGAATATTGGATCCAAGATTTCGAGCTTCTGAAAAGACCAGCCATGAAGTCTGGTTTAGAGGCAGAGATGGAGGTGGCAGAGATGAGGATTGATAGAATCCATAATGAGGATGCTTGATGTGCTTAAAGGAGAACCTCAGCTGGAACAGGAGGAGGCCTGGAGGAGGAGGTTCATGGATGGAGCTAAATAGGACATGAAGCATGAAGCTAGCTGGTCTGACAGAAGAGATGCAGAAGATCAGGTTAGACGGAGTCAGATGACTCATTGTGGAGAGAAATGAAAGGGAAGAGCTGGAATATGAAGATTTATTCACACAAACATGCAGGAACCTTCAACCCTCAAGGCCAAAGTTCTCAGACTCTACGCTACCCTAACCCTGATATAAAAGTGATGGCCTAGTGGTTACAGCAGTGCACTTGTGCTCTGAGAAGGTTGCAAGTACCAAGTTCAAGTCCACAGCCTCCACTCTGGGTCCCTGAGCAAGACCCTTAACTCCACCCTGCTCCCCGGGCACTGCACAATGGCAGCCCACTGCTCCCCAAGGGGAGGGATTAAATACAGAGGTAAATTTCTCCAGATTAATAAACTTCAATGAATTACAGAAAACAACTGTATAGATAAAGATGAGAGATTAGTTGAGGCAACAAATGCAAAATCCAACAATATTTAAATTTGTATTCAAGTAGCTCAACCCAATAATATGGGAAGAATTAACAGCATTCACCAGCAGCAGATAAATAATTAGTTATACAACAATAGATAGATGAGTGAAAGGAAAGCAGACCAAAAAATTAATTAAAATTAATAGTAAATTATATTTGACTATGTTTTTAGAAGAATTTATTCTTACCTTTAATTTAATTTTATTTATTGATTTATTTGACAGGGACAGTGTACATTAAAAAGCATTCCTGCAAATGCAGCAGATTTAGCCAAAGGCTATTTTTTTCATCTGTTTTTCCTGGAAAGATCTTATAATTGACTTCCTAAAAAACACAACAGTAAGCGTTCTACAATAAAAAATACAAATATAATAAGAAATAAAAACAGCTATAACTCCTTTTATTAAAGCAACAAATAAAAAGGTTTTAAAAATAAAACATGGATTATTATTGATTATTATTATTATTATAATTAGAGGTGTAAATCCCTCACTGGTGGAAGATTCCTGGCCCATATTGGCAAAGATGACTAGATCTAGAGATGATTTCAGTTTAAGGAAATTTGTAGAATTCCTCAAATTCTAAAATAAATGTAAAATCATTTAGTGAGCACTCTGACTTCAGAGAGGCAGGGACCAATTCTAAATTTAATAAAGAGGACTTTTAGAGACTTCCAGTTTGACCCTTTAAAAAAACCTTTCAGCACTAATATATAACATCTTCGACCACCAGATGGAGTCAGACACTTTATTTATTTTCCAAACCTTCATTTTCACTTCAGGCTCATCCTCTATATTTCTTTACACAAAACAATAATCCACTGTTACAATAATCCACTGTTACAATAATCCACGGCTATAGACATTGATCAACAGTCATGTGTTCAATTTTTTTTTTTATATTTTGCATTTTTTTTAAAATACAAAGAATGCTACATTTGCTGGAAAAATTACGATGAGGAAATGAATGTAATAAATAAATGTGTGACAGTAAAATTCTATCTGAGTCAAAGGAAGAGATTTCCAGAGTTTTGCTATCATGGAATTAAATTCTATTCAGTTTATTTCTATGGCGCCAAATCACATCATGTCATCTCAAGGGATTTACAGAGACAGTTTAACCAGATCATCCAGTCAGATTGATTCAAAGTTTTCTTTCTAAGGAAAACCAGCTGATTGCATCGACTCATTGACTCTTCAGCAATCCCTCACACTAAGCATGCTTGTAGCGACAGTGGAGAGGAAAAACTCCCTTTGAACAGGAAGAAACCTCCAGCAGAACCAGGCTCAGTGTGAGCGGCCATCTGCTTAGGCCGACTGGAGAGCACATACAGTTAGTCACAGTCAGAGAAACAGGACTACACTGGAAAACAGGCCAAGCTCCAACATCTAGAAACAAAGGTGTTGATGGCAGCAGCACAGCTGATATTTCTCTCCAGGATGGAGTCACAGCCAAACAGGAACAGACCAGATGAAGCTACTATGAGAAAAAGCAGAGAGAGCAGAACGTTAGAGATTGAACTAACAGATTCTGCAGAGTGGGAGAATAGAGATAGAATGAAGCAGAATGATGAAAAAGGGGTCCCTATGTCCTCCAGCAGTCTAAGCCTATAGCAGCAGAACTATAGAGATAGATCAGGATAACCTGAGCCACTCTAACTAGAAGCTTTATCAAAAAGGAAAGTTTTAAGCCTTGCCTTAAAAGTAGACAGGGTGTCTGCCTCACGGACTAAAACTGGTAGTTGGTTCCACAGGAGAGGAGCCTGAGAACTAAAAGATCTGCCTCCCATTCTACTTTTAGAAATTCTAGGAACCACTAGTAAACCTGCAGATTGAGAGCGAAGTGCTCTGTTAGGAACATAAGGAACAATCAGATCTCTGATATCAGATGGAGCTTGGCCATTTAAGGCTTTATATGTGAGAAGGAGGATTTTAAATTCTATTCTGGATTTAACAGGAAGTCAATGAAGAGAAGCCAGGATAGGAGAGATATGATCTCTCTTTTTCATTTTCATCAGAACTCTGGCTGCAGCATTTTGGATCAGCTGAAGGCTTTTAACTACAGTTTGTGGACTTCCTGATAGTAAAGAATTACAATAGTCCAGCCTTGAAGTAACAAATGCATGGACTAGTTTCTCAGCATCACCCCTGGACAGGAGATTGCTCATTTTTGCAATATTCCTCAGATGAAAGAAGGAAATTCTAGAAACCTCTTTGATATGGGATTTAAATGACAGGTCCTGATCAAAAATAACACCAAGATTTTTTACTTTATTATCTGAAATCAGTTTAATCCCATCCAAATGAAGTGACTGACTAATCAGCTTCTTTTTCAGAGACTCTGGTCCAAAGACTATAACTTCTGCTTTGTCTGCATTCAGAAGCAGAAAGTTAAGAGTCATCCAGGTTTTTCTGTCTTCAGACATGCCTGTAATCTATGTAATGGGTTAGCTTCATCTGGATTATAGACAGATATAGCTGGGTATCATCAGCATAACAGTGGAAATTAATCCCATGCTGTCTAATAACTCTACCGATTGGGAGCATGTATAAAGTAAAGAGAATTGGTCCTAGCACTGATCCCTGTGGTACTCCACAGGTAACCTTTGAGCGTGTTGAAGATCTATCATTAACATGAACAAACTGAATTCGATCAGATAGATAAGATTTAAACCAGTCTAGTGCTGTTCCTTTAATTCCAACAAAATATCCAAGTCTTTCTAAAAGAATATTATGGTCAACTGGATCAAATGCAGCACTGAGATCCAACAGGACGAGCACAGATACAAGTCCATTATCTGAGGCCATGAGAATATCATTAGTGACTTTCACCAGAGCTGTTTCAGTGCTATGATGAGCTCTAAAGCCAGACTGAAACTCTTCAAAAAGTTCATTATGGTGGAAGTGATCGCAAACTTGTTTGGCAACTACTTTCTCAAGAATTTTGGATAAGAAAGGAAGATTGGATATAGGTCTATAATTGACCAAGTCATCTGGGTCAAGAGACGGTTTCTTAAGCAGAGGTTTAATTACAGCAATCTTAAAAGCTTTAGGTACATATCCCTGTAACAGAGATAGATTAATCACATCTAAAATGGAGGAGGAGATCAAAGGGAATACCTCCTTAAATAACCTGGTTAAACAGAATACCTCCTTAAATAACCTGGTTGGAACTGGATCTAACATCCAAGTTGAAGGCTTAGATGAAGACAATAGTTTTGCTAACTCTGAAAGTTCAACTGGATCAAAGCAGTCTAAACCCGGTTCAGATTCCATGACTACCTCAGATACAATTGCGGATAGAGGAGTGCTTATGATCTTATTTTTAATAAGATCAATCTTATTTATAAAGAATCCCATAAAATCATTGCTGCTAAGAGCAGGTGGGATGGACGGTTCAACAGAGCTATGGCTCTGGGTGAGTTTGGCAACTGGATTAAAAAGAGGAGAATAAGATTATTCTCCTCTATTAATGAGGAGAAATATGCTGCTCTTGCTTTACAAAGGGTCCTCTTATACAGCAGAAATTATTTTTCCAGA